TGAAAAGAAGCGTTGAAATTGCCGTGTCCAGGTGTGACAACTGACCTGTTTGGGGTCCTTTACGACGCCTGAAAAAAGACATCATCATCATCATCTAATTGAAACAGACCTGAAATTTCCTCTTGTACGGACATCATGTCTAATTACCTATAGTACTGCCGAGGCTGGTGAGAGACTGAGAGTGAGACTTGAAGTGGAGGCTATTATTCATTTATTCTGTATGATAATTTGCATAAATGACATCTCTAGTTTTATTGTCTACTCTTTACTGATGATATAATTTTCCTATATCAGCAAATTGCTTTGTCTTATATACTGCATAAATTCCATAAAACATACTTTGTCTTGACAGTCTTGTCACTCTTGACTCTTGTGAGCAATGAACATATTAATTATTCCTGAAGGCTAAAGAATACTGTCAAACAGGGTAATGAGGGATGGTACCGTTGGGTGGCATGAATTGGGACAGTCCTCTGTCTTAGCATTAGGATGCTATAGCTGCGTATAGCATCAAAACTAATTGAAATAGGCACCTATTGCAAAAATAAAAGTTGCTTTACTTGCTTAAAGAGTTAAAGTTGAAGTTCATATTTTTTCCTATACATCATACCTACCCACTATGCAGATTTGCAGAGGGTGGATGCAGCGTCGGCAATATATGGATTTTTAAGCCCAAAGCGTCGCCGGCCATTTTAAAGATGCGTAGCAACTGATTTCCGGACAAGCTTCGCTGCATCGTAATCCATCCAACGTACCGGAAACCTTCCTTTTTTTTTCTAAATAGTTGGCTGAAGACTGAGAAATATATTAAATGCAAGAATTTTAATCTAAATGTGTCGGCAAGATCTTGTGAAGGCGAAAATTTTGCCGATAATGCGTCGCCGTAGGTCTTTAAATCTTCGTTCACTCTCAGCACAGTGGATACCTACTGTCATACTCATACATAAGTCATAAGCCTAATCTCTGTAGCTTAAAATAATAAAGGACTATCCAGTCACACTCACCCATAGGCTGAGACAGTCTCAGCAGAGAATTTTTTAGACTCACCAGTCTCACCTTCAACTTTCAAGTTTTCAACTTCAGTTTCAAGTTCATTTTCAAGTCCAATAAGTAAACCAGCAGAGTATTGATTAATTATTAATGAGACAATTAAAAATGAACTGATTCTGAAATATCACTGGTTTGCCAATATGAAGAACATTAGGATTTAAGAAATCATATAATTCTATAATATGTTCACTAGCAGACGCCAGACGTAGCAGTCTATCTCACTCTATCCCTAAAAAATCTTTAAAGAAAATTTTCAAAAATTATATTTTGGAGAATTACTTTCGCTTCTGATAAGGTCTGTAGTTAAAAGAATTTACTGGATTGAAAAAACTTGCTCAAGAAAAAACTTGCTGACTAGTGTTGGCTTTAAGACTTTATTGCTGGACTGGAATTTGCATAGGTAGCCTACCTCAATCCAAAACAAAATGGTGACCATTCCTGAGAGACTGTGAGAGGGGGTAGTACAGCACAGCAGTTGCAGGGATTCTGGTAACCTGGTCAGCAAAAATGCATCTACAGTAGAACCTGGTTAGCACAGGCTCTGGTCAGCAATATAAAAAAATTTAGAGTATGATAGAGAATTTTGCTTAAATACCTCTCCCAGCAAATAAAATTTCACTTGTCACAAAATTAATGTATCATTGGGCATCACAAAATAGTATGAATTAGCATCATCAGTCTTTTTTGGGCAGTATTTTTGATAATTATTTGATTGTATAACTTGCTGATTGCAGAGAAAATTTTGTGGAATAATATTCAGTTCCAAAGTATTTATATGAAACATGGAAGTCAAAGAAAAAGAGCACCCACTCACCCTGAAAGGTAAGTTTGTTCTCTGTACAGAAGTTTAAATAAGTCTAAATGGTAACTTATATCCAAACTTAAATCTCAGCAATTAATGATGTTAATATTCTGATGGGAAATTATGTTAATGAAATTCATTGGTTGAACACAGAATTCAAGCCACTATGCAGAGTTTGGCAATTGTGTAGCAAAAATCAGGTTTAAGGCTGAAATTTTCATCAGTATTATTGAGGACTTGTGTCCAGAACTACCAAAAATTCCAGATTTATTGCCCAAATTACATGTAAATAGGTATTCAAAGAGACATGTGTGTGCAACATCTCCTGAAGTCTGAAGACATAGATTTAGTTGCTAAAATGTTACCAAAGGACTTCAGGTATTTGCTATCTCTCTGCATCCTCTAAGATTAAGTTTCCAATAAGGATTTTGTTTCATATTTTATTGGGTTGCCAAAATGTTTATTGATCTTGCCTACATTGGCTAGAGAAAACATGGCTAGGTATTTCACGTTTTTAAAGTGTCTGCTAAATTTATTATAGGATGCCCAGATATCAAATTTAGTTCAAACTACAGAACATATTATCACTAATCTAGAAAGCAAGTCTTTCATTCTTGTTATAGTAAAGGTGTTTTGTTGGCATCATTGTTTCAATCATAAAATTTTGTAGATATACCTATGCCATCTTTTTAGCAAACATATATGTCTATTGCAATTAAAGTAAAATTTATGAACTTTCTGAACTCCTCTTTATGTTCTAGTTAATTACTCAGTATTATCCACTCATTTCCTGTAAACATTTTGATCAAAATTCCTTCTAAGTGCAGTAGTACCGTACGTATACTAATTCTCAATCCAAATCCTTTCTATAAAACAGCACATAGGTACCACCTTATACTATTAGCTAGTAATGTTATTGTAAGATTGTAATGCAATTAATATCTTCCAAAACCTATTATAGCCTATCATTTAGGCATATTTTTGATCACTATTAAGACGCACTGTTGAAACTTATGTAATACATATTATGAACTGTTTAATGGAAAGAAAAAGATCTTTCATCTTAAGTTCATCAACCATTTCCTATATGTCTGTAACATTAAAACTTAGACATTTTTATCAAAATTCATCATCATTGCAAAATTTGATACAGTAATAGGCTATTTGTGTGAATATTTTTTTTTTTTTTGGGCAGTGATGCGTCTGACTCGGCCGTCACTCTTCTCCAGCATCTCGGTGACCTGCGATGCTCGTGACCTGCCAGCCGACCTGCTGAATGCCGACCTGCGGCAGGACATGGCCATTCCCAGCGGCCTGCCATATACCGGCATTGGGCAGGTCCTGCTTCTGCCGCAAAGTTTTGGGTGAATATTTTTGTCGTGTTAACATTTCATTTTTTTTTAATGCATTTTGACGTTTTAACTCAATATAATCATATTTATATATATATATGAATATTTTGTAATTGTCCTTAATTGGACTAATTTCAATAATAAAGGCCTACTGCATCAAATCCTAATTTCAATACTAGTTTGGTCTATATGGACCAAATTAGAGAAGAAGTATATCTAGTTGTATTCTCTAATAGTCCTTTTTTGCATATAGGTAAATTCGTTTTTGATGCGGGCTGAAAGCATTTGTCATTCAATTCTATGAAGTTACTCTATGAATTTTAATGAATGACTGAAGTAATATACAGCATTATGATTTTATATGTTTTTTGTTCAACATTAGTGAATATGATGCATTACATGCTGGGCAAAGTTTCGAACGGCTGAATATAAGTGAACATGTAAAAGTAACTTATTTGAATACATTATTCCTGTGTACATGTTATGAATACTTTTGTTTGTTGTAGCATCAGAAGTATAGGTATTAAAGGGTCACAAAGATGGCATATTTTTGCATTTAAAAATCCAAGCCACACCAAACAACTGGGTGAAGCTGTTGAATATTATCTTGTATATTAATGCAGCAGGAAATGCATGAATTTGATTTATGTATGATGGGAATATTTGTATGATCTGATTCATGTCTGAAAATATGCTACTTGATATGGATATTTTTCAGGATGAACCCACAATTCTATTCTGCTGCCAATATCTGAACTCCAATATATTTTAATAAATAATAATAACTCCAGTACATTCTAATATATACAGTACGTAATAGTAATCCCTATAAATTCTAATATATAACAATAACCTCACTATATTCTAATATATAATAATATCCCCCAGTATATCCTAATATATAATAATATCACCAATATAATCTAATATACCTATGTGCTGGTACCACTGCATCACCCGTAATGTTTGCCCACAAGGAACATATATCTGGGGGAGATGTTCTCGTGCTGCCTGTGTGTGCACAACAGCAGCGTCTCTGCCATCCAGCAAGTCAACATCAAGGTGGGGGATCTTTATCTTCTGTTGATTTATTATCTTCATTTATTACCTAACTTCAAAAAATATCAAATATCAATGTAGGTAGGGTATATATGAATGTCAATACCACCTAGTGGCTAGTGTGGAACACAAGAAATTAAGGTTTATTTTCTTTAACACTTTTTCAATAGCATTTTTCATCCAGCAAGTCAACATCAAGGTCAGGCATCTTTATCTTCTGTTGATTTATTATCAACTTCATTCATTAACTAACTAAAATATCAAATATCAATGTATATATGAATGTCAATGCTACCTAGTGTGGAACGAATGAAATTAAGGTTTATTTTCTTTAATCCCTTTTCAATAGCATTTTTTATTGAAGCTAATAGTATGTGCAACAAGAATATTTTTTATTTGTGAATTTTTTGTGTCTAGTATACCTCAATTTAAAATATTGAAAAATATATTATTGATGTAAAGTAAAAAAATACGCATTATTTTTAGTACAATGTATTGTACTAAATGGGCACTTTAGTACAATAATGGTGGCTACAGCTACATATTGTGTTGTATGTTAATAATACAGCTGTGTGTTTGAAATAATTCTGTGTTGCATTTGATGGAAGTGTGTTGGACTGTATGGTGTACTGGTTTGAATTAATATTGTATTCTGTGTTACATCTGTGTTAGTTTGAATTTATATGGTATTCTGTATTACAGGCTGTGTTGCATCTGTGTTAATTTGAATTAATATTGTATCCTGTATTACAGGCTGTGCTGCATCTGTGTTATTTGAATTAATATTGTATCCTGTATTACAGGCTGTGTTGCAGCTGTGTTGGTTTGAATTAATATTGTATCCTGTATTACAGGCTGTGTTGCAGCTGTGTTAATTTGAATTAATACTGTATCCTGTATTACAGGCTGTGTTGCAGCTGTGTTAATTTGAAATAATACTGTATCCTGTGTTACAGGCTGTGCTGCAGATCGGCAGCGAGAGGGTTGCGCTGCTGGGCGGGGAGACGGAGGTGTTGCTGGAGCTACAGCCTGATGACGTCACCAGTTCAACTATTCAACATGAAGTCAAAGATGTCGGCACGCACATGTTAGTGTTGAATAATGGCAGGTCCATTAGACTGGAGGACAAAGACAGGCACATGTTAGTGTTGAATAATGGCAATTCCATTAGACTGGATGTCCAAGACAGGCACATGTTAGTGTTGAATAATGGCAATTCCATTAGACTGGAGGACAAAGACAGGCACTTTTTAGTGTAAGATTCAAACAAGTGTATTGCTATTTTTATAAAATAGCAATACATTAAATGGAATATGTCAACTATGATTGTTTAATAAAGCTGATATTGAGATGGCAAGCCTCAATACTAGCTTTATTAAAATCATAACAATATTTTTTTGATAAAATAGTAAACACAATACGTTTAATATATCAATTAAAACTTTTAATCAAATAACTTAATTAATTAAATACCTCAATAAAAACTTTTAATCAAATAACTTAATTAATTAAATACCTTAATAAAAACTTGTAATCAAATAACTTATTTAATTAAATAACTTAATAAAAAGTTAATGTTGAAACAACAAATAATTTCAATGCCCCGCCAGCCTGGTGTGTGCGGTGAGCTACCTAGCAGCGTCAGGGGAGACTCTGAGCTTCCGCAAGTTCTACAAGTTCCAAGTGATGAAACCTGTTGACATCCGCACCCGCTTTGTCAACGTACAGGTGCCCTATCATCAATATTTTATCTGTCTTATTATGAATGTTTTATCCCTGTCCTGTCCTAATATTGAACTAGTTTTACTATGTCACAACACGACGTAATGTCGCTCGACTCCAGTGTTCGTTCGCAGTCTCTTTGTTTTATCCAGTATGAACGGATCTCTCTTTTGTTATATAAGTGTAATTGCATTGTAGTCTCTTGAATAATACTTGTGTTATGTTATATTGTGATATTGTCGTGTTGTGTTGATTAGTATTTTACATCGATCATTATTCTTCCAGGTAACTGGGCATTTGTTGAATAAAGCTTTGATTACCCAAGTTTATTTCCTCCCTGATTCCACAACACGTCCTATTATCAATATTTTCATTTCCCTGCTTCTTTGGGTCCTAATTCCACTTTTTCAACATTTAGTTTTGTATTTTTATAAGGACTATATACTAAAAGAATAGACAACATGTTATGCACTCTAATAAAAGAGTCCACCTTTTTGTCTACTGGAGGAAATTTTCTTTACAATTTCCTAAGTTACAAATGGCATTAATGTTGGTTATTATTGTATTTGTATACCAAATATTAAATGTTCCTGCTCCAACTGTAGTATCATACTGAGTCATTTCGGTACAAAGAGCATTATTGATATTCAATAAATCCGTATTTTCAGCATTAAATCTTTGATTACTGAGAGTTAGTATGATTATAAGTAATTTTGGTAAGAATATCATTGGCAACAGTTAATGTATCTATTGCAACTATCAAATATTCGTGCTTAGTATTGTTTTAAGCTGTTCAGGTATGAATATCATTGTTAACAGTTAATATATGGGTGCAGGGAAGCTCGGACGTGCTGGTCGAGGCCGCCGTGGAGAACATCACTTCAGCGCCCATCTGCCTCGAGAGGGTCTCCATGGAGCCCTCTCCGCTGTACCGGGGTGAGGTGGGGTGAGGGTCTCCATGGAGCCCTATCCGCTGTACCGGGGTGAGGTGGGGTGAGGGTCTCCATGGAGCCTCCCCGCTGTACCGGGGTGAGAGTAAAGGGTCTGGGGTGAAGCGCATCATAATTTCAATAAGTAAAATGAAAATCCTGGTTTTTATTATGTGTAAAAATTCAAATATATGAATGAATTAATGTCTAATATCAAGAATAGGAATAACTTTTCAGAATATTTGAAAATCCTGCTTTAATTAAATGTAAAAATTTAAATATATTAATGAATAAATAAACCTAATATCAAGAATAGGAATATCTTTTCAAAAATATCATCCCCAGGCAAACTTTTCACTTGAATTTTCTATTTATCTCCACGTCAGAGTCTGTAGTTGTAATTTTTTATAATATTTTACTTTTTTTCAGTTGTGGCCTTGAACAGCCTACACCAAGACCCCCCTGTGGACCCCTCGAACCCTTTGAACCCCTCAAATCCATTGGACCCTTCGAATCCATCAAAAATTTTGAACCCATCAAATCCTTCTACCCTTTCGAACCCCCCTAACCCCTTGAACCCCCCGAACCCCAGCAACCCGTTGTTTGGACCCCTGAACGTGGTAGCCCCCCATGAGACCCGGCAGTACCTGTACCGCCTGACCCCCTCCGAGGGTCCAACCCTCACCCCCAGCCCTGAGGGCTCAGCGACCCTCGGCAAACTGGACCTTGTCTGGCGGTCCAACCTGGGCGACTCTGGCAGACTACAGACCAGCCAGTTCCAGCGCAGCGTGAGTGTCTGCTAGACTATTTTTTAAATTTATAATATATATTAATAATTATATTAATTATTATGTTTAACTAGGTGGTAATTGTGTGATTTCAGTAATTGATAAACTCGGTAATGCAAACTACAGACCAGCCAGCATGTGTGGTCTGTATATGAATAATTTTTATCTCATTTTATTATTGATTAATCATTGTCATTATATAATTTGTGTATATTTATTCATGTAATACTATCATTCATGTATAATTTTTAGAATTATATTTAAAAATCTCAATTTAATCGTGCATTCCTAGCAATTTTCAGAAAGCAGGACTACTGGCTAGCGTGACTGGTCTTCTTTTGTGTTGTGTTATTTATTTATTAATTAATTATTTCATGTCTATAATAATGTAATTTTATTATAGTGACGTAATCTAATTTGTTATAATCAGTAGGTAAGGCAGACTACAGACAAACTGGTGCATGCAGTCTGATAGTCTGTGCTTTATTTTTTTTAAATAGTCTGTGCTCTATTTTTTTAAAAACTTTTTGGAAAAAAATTTTAATTGGTCTATAATCCTATTAAAAAATTAATGGTCAGTTTTCAGCTAAATGGATAATTATATAATCTAGATTTATGTGAAAAAAGTTTCAAAATTGTTCGTCCACTCGAATAAATAAAGGGATCAAACTGCCATCTGCACGTATCACTGATACGCCTTCAAACTGAGTCAGGTTGACCCACCCATGACCCCGTATTAACCCCCTGCCCCCCCCAGGCTGGCGCCCCCCCAGCGGAGGTGGTGGTGAAGCTGCTCGAGTGTCCGGCCACCGTCACCCTGGAGCAGACCTTCGACGTGGTGCTGGGTGTCTGTAACACGGGGTGGGTGTCTGTAACACGGGGTGGGTGTCTGTAACACGGGGTGGGTGTCTGTAACACACGGGTTGTCTGCTTTACCAATAATATAATCTATTTATTTTAAGTATATCGCCGTATTTTGTGTTTATTCAAATCTCATTATGTATCATTTAATTTGTTGTTTATATATTATTTCGTATTAATTTATTATTATGATTATATCATCAATATTTGCTATTGTTATATTATCAGTACCCTATTATTATAACCTTTGAAAATTAATTAAAAAAATCATTAATAATTAATTAATTAATTAAATTATCATTAATAATTAATAAAATAATTAAATAATCTTTAATAATTAATAATGTTAAGTAAATTCGAATTACTCCTAGAAAAGCAAGGAATTATTTATTTATTTTTTTTTTAATTCAAATGAAAAACGGAATTAATCACTTATTAATTATCATTAATAATTATTTAAAATCCTATTATAATCATTAACAATATTAACCGCTGCCAGGAATTTATTAATAATTAAATTAAAAATAAATAAATAATTAATTTAATTATTAATAATTAAATAATTAATATATTATAATTAAATAAAATGCTATAATCATTATTATCGTCAACAATAATGGCTGTCACCGCGGTCAGCACGAGGACGCTGCGGCTGGAGGCATTAATACCTATTATTATAATTAATTAATACCTATTATTATAACCATTTATGATTAATTAAAACATCAATAATTAATTAATTAACTTTTATTAATTAAATAAATAATTGATAATTAAATAATCATTAATATTTGATTAAATCAATAATAATTAATAATTTAATCCTTAATAATAAAATAAAATCATAGTATAATCATTATTGACAACAATAACCGCGGTCAGGACTCGGACGCTGGCACTGCGGCTGGAGGCGCTGCCGGGCGCTGGCAGTGGCAGTGGCTGTGAGTGGCACTGCGTCGTCTGCCGCCCCCTGCCACCCCTCCTGCCTGGCGCCTGCCACCGTCTCACACTCACTGCACTGCCACTCAGGACTGGCATTCAGGTGACCCCCTCTCTCACCGACCCACCCCCTCTCTCTCTCTCTCACCCACCGTTCCCCTCTCACCCACCGACCCCCTCTAACCCCTCATCCCCCACAGGGGTTGTGTGATCTTGAATTGCTATGCAAGATCTACCCGACCTTTGATGTGAATCCAAAATATCTTGCTATAATAATTATATAATTATTGTCTGTTGTCAATGATACAAAACTGATTTACACTAATTAGTTCCTTTATTTTAGTCAAATCTTCAAGCTTCCCAAAAGTTGACCATCGAATTTATTATTGTCGCTTGCAACGTTGAAATTTTGTCATAGTGAAAATAGATTTCGACTGGATATAAGAGCCAGGAAAACGCGCTGCACTCGAAAATTTTTAGCTTACAAATAAATATTGGGCTACCAAAATATATTTATATATTTTATTTATATAATATATAAATATATAAAATATATTTATATATTTTGGTAGCTCTAACGAATGTGAAATGAATGAATACGAAATATTTTCGGTAGCCCAATATTTACTTGTATATAGTACCAGTATATATTTATATTTTTTATATAAAATATATCCCAAATGAATATGAATGAATATGAAATATTTTTAGTAGCCCAATATTTATTTGTATATATATTTTTTCATGTAAAATATGAAATAGGTATCAAAAATGAATCATATTCTACAAACTGCAGAACTACAATAATTTAACCCCCCAGAGGTTGTGCGGGGTGCGCCTGCGTGACGTGACCGCGCCGTCCGTCTGTCACGAGGTCATAGGGTACGGCCACGTCCTGGTCACGCCTGACTCATCTGAGTCACTTGACTCACTTGCTCTGACTCATCACCTGCAGCAGCTCTGTGTCACTTGACTCATCACCTGCAGCAGCTCTGTGTCACTTGACTCATCACCTGCAGCAGCTCTGTGTCACTTGACTCACTTATTTTGTGTCACTTGACTCATCAATAAGTAAAATAATCTTGATTATATATTAAAGATTATCTTAATGTTATCAGTGCTGATGGTATTTAAGATTACGATAATCTTGATCACGGAAGTAATTAAATTACTTAATACATTATTAAATAATGATTAAAATTAATTCAAATTTATTGTTTTAAATGTGAAGAAAATTTCAAATTTACCTTAAAAAATGTATGGGTCAAATTGTCCAAAAAGATACACACTTTCTCACTCAGTACGTAGCACTGATACGCCCATTCCCTATTACCGGCCCAAACTGTGTCAGGATGACCCACATAATGGCTGAAGTTACAGCACTTTTATAGACAAAGTCTAGCTTATTTCCCTCAGTGTTGGCATTTTCCTGTATGGCCTGTATTAATCTCACCTTTATATCTGTATTAAGATGGCCTGTATTATCTGTATTAACCTCACTTGATTATCTGTATTAAGATGGCCTGAATGTTTCGATGAATCTCCGACGAAAAATATATTATTGATGATTGTTATATTAATGTTATTCAATAAAATTAATAATAGTTAGTACCATGTATACTTTGTGTGGTGGGTTGTTCGGTGTATACGTAACTCATAAAAATATAGACACTGTCCAACTAGCGATGCACATTTTGTCTGCACATTTTGTTTTTTATCTTTAATAATATGTTATTATTAAATAGTAATGATATGTTTAACAATGTGACACATTTGTGAACGATGAACATCGTTCACTAAAATATTCATTGCTTAATTGATACGATCATTCATTCCCATATGCATTTTTGGCTAGATTGTTCTGTTGCGAAGCTGCGCTTGTAACATTTGAGTCAGACCTGTAGCAGTGGGAACCACGTAGGACGAGGTCATGTCTGAGCGGCTGTGAGTCGGGTAGTTAGTCGTGTCCCGCCAGCCCTACAGTGAGGTTCTAGCCTGAACTCACCTCGCTCCGTTGCACTAGAGATCTTGTGCCCTAGCGCTAGTTACTGTGGCTGTGCTCTATATGCTCCATCAAGCAGTGTAATGTCCATCGTGTTTGCTGTACTATTTTATTCAACCTGTTGCTTTTAATTTTTCTTTACTGGAATAAAAGGCAAGTTTTACTTTTGTAACCGAAGTTTTAATGAATGAACATCCCAGTGCAATAAAGTGAACTTTTTACAAGATAGTTGCCGGCGTTTGGCCGTGGAGCTTCATTATCCTGACAAGATTAAAGGTAGCGGCACACGTCCGGTGACACATTCATTTACCTGAATGAAGGCTTCATCGTATCTTTACGCATACAAAATCATCCCACAACTTCGATCTTCGTTTATTATCATTAATAATAACTATTATTATAAACGTCATTAAAATCATTAGTTAATTATTATGCGGATGAAGAGTTTTTAATTTATTATTTTTTTTTGTTGTTTCATGTTATTTATATGTTTGTTTTTATGCTTTTTTCTTGTTTTTTTTTCTGGTCGTGACGCGGCTACGTAGACTCAGGAAAATAAGCAGGTCATATTGTCCAAATATTGACCCACTTTCCTATAGTGACCCACTTTCCTACCCCACCGCACCAGCAAAATATGTATTTTTTGCTGGTATATATATATATATATTTTTTTTCACTCAGAAAAATATATGTGTCATGCTGTCTGTAATGTGGTGCATTACCTTCACGTAGCACTGATACGCATTTTTGCCGGGCCAAACTGGGTCAGGTTGACCCACATAAAGGAAAATATGAATCGCTATTTGTACAAAGTCTCGCTGATTTTTATGAGTGTACGAGGTTCATAACGGAGTCCAATTAAATATTTTAATTACATTTATTTTTATAGAATATTTCATTTGTGTTCAGGCTTGGGTTTTTTATATGTCGTTTTTTTCTTCTTATTTTTTATGCGTGTCACGAATTTTGAATTTTTCTACGAGATTTCTTTGAGTTTAATGCATGTAAATAAAGTATTATTGTGAAATTTCTTTAATAAGATCATTCATATAAATTGTCCAGACGTTGTATATAGTATATTGTATATTATAAATTGAATTATGTCGAGTTTTATTATCCCGTTATTTAATTAACTATTTTACGTATAATGAACCAATATTTCGTTAAGTTATAAAAGGCATTTCCTTCAATACTGTTCATAAATATAAGTTATATTTCTCATAATATCATTTATAGAGGGACTAATTTATTTTAATTTAATCCATTATGATACAGCATTTTTCTATATCGTTAATCAATGGAATCCATTTCTTTTAAATATCGTTCATCAACCACGCTCATATTCTCGTTCATTATTCAAATGAACATTCATGTTTAAATTAATGAAAGTAAATGAAGCATTATTATTATTATTTACAATAATTATCAATTATCGTAAAAAGTAGCATTAGGTTTGCAGTGCTTGAGCCTTGAAGGCAAACCGTGCATCGCTTTTTGAACAAAATTCCTCTAATTTGTTTGAGTGCACTAATGGCAGTGTGACATCGCTTTAGACAACATGATCGTCGATATATAATAATGATTGTATAGACGATATATAGATCGTTTAGACATCATATAGATGGTCTATAGATAATATGATCGTCGATATATAATATAGATCATATATTTACATATATAGATCGGATAGACAATATATAGATGGTCTATAGACAATTTGATCGTCGATATATAATATAGACAATACAGATCGTATAGACAATATATAAATAATATATAGACAATATGCTGGACATGACCCCATCGCTGCATGGCAAGTGGCAGCCGCCGGGACGCCTATAAGTAGGCCCGCAGTGCGCTGCCCCGGGACGTGGAGGGGGGAGGTTGTCGCTACTGCTCAGCATTGTGATGACTGAATTGTTCGCAAACTTAGAAACACTTAGTGGCCATTCATTAATTAAATATTTTGTGTGTAAGAGAGAATCAAATTCGAATGACTGAATTGTTTGCAAGCCTTGAAACACTTAGTGGCCATTTATTAGTTGAATATTTTGTGTGTAAGAGAGAATCAAAAGTATCTTAGATGTTGTTTAGCAAATAGTTACGTACTCAAATTAGAGATAAGTTTGTAACGTATGACCACTTTGTTCATAAGTGGCCACACGTGGTTTATTCCCAGATCCGAACACGACATCTTCGTCACAAATAATACAAATTTGTGTACTGACATTTTTTTACCATAAAAATTTTTTCCGCATACAAATTCCTGTTTTTTTTTCAAAACCGTAATATTTATTGTGAGCAGTTTAATATAAACACACAAAGACATGTTATCCTTATTCCTGACCTTTATTAATTAATTAATTAATTAATTGTATTACTATAGTACCATTAATGGCGAATAATTAATTAAAACTACTCCTAATTACTGACCTTTTTTCAAACTATCCTTATTCCTGGCCGCTGAAGGATAATCCTTATTCATGACAGTAACTAATTAATTAATTATATTATTATACAAATAAATAATTAATTATTGAATTAAAGACATCATTATTCCTGATCACAAAAGGATTAAGATGTCAACAATGCAGCTACAGGTCGCCTTGGTAAGAACAAGTTTACATTTTATTTTTTATTGATTTTAACGTATGAATATTCTCGATTTTGTTTATTTTTAGCGCATTTTCTCGTTTATGGAAAAAATGCACTATTGTGCTCGTCATGTCCGTCTGTCCATCCGTCTGTCCGTCCGTCCGACTGTCTGTCCGTCCGTCCGACTGTCTGTCCGTCCGTCCGTCTGTCCGTCCGTCCGACTGTCTGTCCGTCCGTCCGACTGTCTGTCTGTCTGTCCGTCCGTGACCTCAAGTTTTCGTCGACGAGAAAATGCGCTCTCTGTCACTCACTGCAGTGAGTACTGAGTTATATTTTTTAAGTGCATTGGTCAGATTAGCCTGCAAATTGTAATTTTCCAAAAATAATATATGTAAAACTTTTGAAGAATTGCCATATGCCATTGCAATGCACGAATTACAATATTTAAAAATTAATATTTTAAAAGTAATGTAATATTGTAAAAAATTAGAGATTGAAATTTATGACGTCACAGCAAGAGGTTGGTTGCAGTTACAAAAATTAAATACTGTTGCAGTAGATTGATAGCAGTTAGAATATATTATATTTATATTATATAATTTATTGAAAAGCTTGAGAATGATTCAGTAGTTATAACAGAAGCAGTGAATTAGAAAATTCACTAATTACAAACTTGATATTTTGATACATTTTGCCCAGGTGCTGCTGGTGTTGGTGACAGCAGGGAGGTAACAATTCTTTAGTTAATTAATTAATGTTTTTATTCATATTAATAATTCTCATTTATTAATAATTTTATTAGTGGCTCGTAAATTTCTCAACTGTTTGATAATTTGTTAATATACTGCAATGCATATATAAATAAATTAATAACCTTATTCACTTAATTCCAAGCTCTTTTATTATATGAATATTGACTAAGTCTCTATAATGACTCATCTACTTTATATTAATGAGAAAAAATTCCTTCTGTTTATCTATTAATTAATTAATTAATCAATAATTAACAGGAGAAGACCCCTAAGAGAGGTAGAGAGGTAGTGTTTGTACACACAGATAAATGAATGGTTCATGTTGTCCAAATTGACATACTTTTCGGACGTAGCACTGATATGCCTTTTTGCCGGGTGAAACTGGTTCAGGGCGGCCACTGCACAAGAGCAAGAAATGCATTGCTATTTTGACAATGTACCTGTAATTTTTCTGAGAATATATTCGTTACATAATTCACGCAAAAATTTCAAATTTTCATTTCAAACGAATTTTCTTACGGCTTTTCACACAGTCACACACACATTACAATTTCTAAGCTATACCTTATACATTTAAAACATTCATATTCTCCTGCATTTACACAGTATACTGTGTTCAATACAGCCTTCTATAGCATATCGTTTACAGTCTAATATTACTCTCATATTACGTATTGAAGAAAGAATTAATTTCAAAACAATCTTTATTCAATATTCATACTTGCCGAAGCTATATTCTATCTACTATATTAAAATATAAACAATTTCAAATTCAAATTTCACGCTTGCAGTTGCCCACATTCAATTAATGTCGTACTTCATCAACAATGCACGTTTAAATATAAGTGAAATAGTTTTCAAATTTCATACCGGAAGTTGCCCGCATTTAATATCATATTTCAACGTATAAATAAAGGTAATTTTCAATAAATTTCAATATTATATGTTAACGTTGAAATAGAAGTGAAATAATTTTCAAATTTTATCCCTGCATTTGCCCGCATATCGATGTCGTACTTCATCTACAACATTAAAAAGGGTTAAATAAGTTTCAAATTTCATAGTTGTAGTTGTCCGCATTTCATATCATATTTCAACGTTTAAATAAAGGTATTATAATATTATATTTCAACGTATTCAACGTATAAATAAAGGTAATTTTAATATCATATTTCAACGTTTAAATAAAGGTAATTTCAATATATTTCACGTATTAATAAAGGTAATTTTAATATTATATTTCAACGTATAAATAATGGTAATTTAAAGGTAATTTCATCACAAATTCGCCCCCGGGTGCAGCGGGTTGCCGCCGCTGGACCCTGGGCTGTGCTCCCACGTGCCCTCAGGGGTCACTGAGTACCTCTGCGGCAGCTGCCTGCAGCCCTACATGTGTCAGGGCACCGCCCTCACTGAGCTCCCGCACTGCATCCTCGGCAGCGTGAGTACAACTCGATCAGGATGGTAGGAGTAATTACATTATAACGGGAACTATAAATCTACTGCTACATATGACATCTACATATAAGGTTGGAATATTGTTTATGCGCCAGAACGAATAACGACGATAACACATAGGTCAATTAAGTTAATAAACAAATAACACAGGTCGATTAAGTTCTGGTGCGCGAATTGGAACATTCCGTAGGTTTCTGCCTAAGGCGTTCCGCTCTGGATTTGAAGTGCAGCCCTTAAGCAGCTTGCAGCTCTGGTAGATAATTGGTTAAACCCACTCCTGTCTTACTCTTAAAAGATTACAAAATCGTTAACAGTTAGAAAATAGATTCTGGCTAGTCGCTATTTTCGATCGGGTGGCCAAACAGGCCCAGAATAACTTAGGCCGAGTGTGGCGAGTTCTAAGCAGAATCCTGGGCGTAACTCCTTTTATGTAAGGGTATATTTAAGTTTTTCTGCCTATTTAAAAAAATTTGTAGTGCCACTACTGAAAATTATTTATAATATATGGTTAATATCTGACATTTCAGGCTGGCGCTATCATGGACGGATTTTTCATCTATTGCAGAACTTGTAATATAATTTTCACTATTTGTCGTTGATGAAGGGTTAATAAAGTGGATATATTTGCAGGTTTGTGAAGAAGTGAACCCCAGAGAAGCCACATGCGTGCCCGCCACATTCACCTCGGTGTGTGAGTGCACCACTGACGTCTGCGACGAATACAACTCTACGTACACCGCCAAGTGTGACGCCCGAGGTATATATGACATCGTTCAGTGTACCGCGGTCCATCAGGGATCCGCGTCCTGCGTCAGCGGAACCTGCGTGGACTGCTCGAACCTTGGCATCCGGGACCCAGTGTACGAGGTTGTACCTTCTGAATGTACCATCGGGTACCAATGCACGGACCAGTTCGTTACGGCGTCCACCGACTGTTCCGATGAAGAGTACGTGTCAAAAGAAGGATCGTGTGTACCGGCGCCTCCCCTGCCATGTGCCGACGAAGATTTGTGCTTCGGAATTTGTCCGGACTTGACGAACTGTTCGCGGTATTATTTCTGCGATGTAAATGGAGGACCTCCAGGTGGACCATATGAATGTGACGCCGACCATTTCTTCAACCCCAGGACAGAGTTTTGTGATCTCGGGGATCCTAGTGTGTGCGATCTGTGGACCCAGTGCGACTTCCCGGCTCCTGCTTATACGACCACCAAATCAATAGAAGAGACGACTACGACCTTTGTCGGAACGGATGGTTCAACGGAAGAATCAACGGAAGAAACAACAGAAGAAACAATGGAAGAAACAACGGAAGAACCAACAGAAGAACCAACAGAAGAAACAACGGAAGAATCAACAGAAGAACCAACAGAAGAAACAACGGAAGAACCAACAGAAGAAACAGCAGAAGAAACAACGGAAGAGGAAACATCAACAGAAGACACAGCAACAGAAGAAACATCAAAAGACGACACAGCAACAGAAGAAACAACAGAAGAAACAACATTAGATTCAACAGTATAACCACATAGGAACCAACAGTAGGAACAGAGGAAGAATCAACAATAGGACCAACAGAACAAACAACATAATCAACAGACACATTAAGAGAAGAAATCAAAGGCATTCTACTTCCCCACATACGTATAATAGATGGAGAAGATTAAAAGGGAGTGGGACATTGAATGAAGTTAAAACGTGAATGTTCAGCATTTCTGTTTGGTTGACATAATCATTTAGATTTCATCATAGATGACAAAATGCTTTTTTAAACATAATAGTAGTAGGGCTGAGTTCTATTTCTTTATGTGAAAATATGCACTTTGTTATTTTTAACCTATATGGGAATAGTAAAAATTAGCGCTTTGTTATATATGGGAACAAAAGAAACAAAACAAAATGGGAATAACCGGTGAGAGTATGAAGATTTTCTTTATATACTGACTATTTAACCCCAATTATGTCGATATTCCATGAATAATTGAACTACCAATACCGACACGTGCATGGCTGGGTCACACAAGCGAAATGTTTATTTGATTTCAGCTTCAATTAATTGAGACGAAACGCAAATTCTGCATGTTAACTTTTGCATAAAGGGAAAATAACAAATAACCGTCTCAATTTTTTTTCCCTCTTTGATATTAAATTGAATCATTCATGTGATACCTGATCATGACACAACATGGATTAATGATGACATATCATTGCAATGAATTAATGATGACATATTAACGATGACATGTCATTGTAATGAATTTCTCTTTTAGCCAAATATAAAAATTTTTTGTTGCATTGATTATTATTAAACCTTAAAATTATTCGATTGAACTAACGTCAATGCCGCTTAAGTTGCCACCTCATTCAGATTGCCGCTACGTGTACTTAGGCCGTTATGTGTACTTGGGCCGCTACGTGTACTTAATTAGGCCGCTACGTGTACTTAGGCCGCTACGTGTACTTGGGCCGCTACGTGTACTTATAGGCCGCTACGTGTACTTAGGCCGCTACGTCTACTTAGGCCGCTACGTGTACTAATAGGCCGCTACGTGTACTAATAGGCCGCTACGTGTACTTAGGCCGCTACATGTACCTAAGCTGATTGTGATAGTTTAGCCCCAGTTTATCACTGAGGGAACATGTGCTAAGATATCGAAGATAACAGCCACGCTTCTCTCCCACACTGTTATCTATTGGCATCATGTTACTGGAACACTATAGTAATAATTATAATGTTACTATAATGTTAACCTTATTTCCATCAGCAATCTACATAATGCGTGGTAGTTATTTATCATCGGCTACCATCATTTTAAAATAGTGAATCTCCCACCATTATTTATTGGCTCAACCTTATCACTATCCCGGTGATGTGCATTATCTCCTTGTTTAATTAGCATTAAAATTATCTTATATTTTATTGTTATTAAAATATTATATAGAAATATATTAATATCTTTTATCATATTATTATTCTTCCTGTATAATTATCAATGATAGTATGTTATATTATTAATTTATACTATAGTAATATTTTAACATCAATTATTATATTAATTAGTTTTATATTATAACTATATATTAATTATATCACATCTTTAAAAATAAGATGGTTATAAATTAATGTTGAATTTCATATGAACTTCCTTAGAAGTGCCCTACACGACCTGTTGCCACCTGCGCCAGGTTATCAAACATATTCTAACTAATCAATGACTATGAATATATATAATAATATATATTTTTTAGTCCTTCTCATATCTCATGTTGCTAAATTCCTAACCACAGAAGATATACTCAGAGTACTGAGCGAGACTTCGTCCAAATATCGATGCGCTTTTTTTCTTTGTGCTTATCATCATTACTTAATATAAAATAATATAATATAATATAATATAATATAATATAATATAATATAATATCATATAATATAATATAATATAATATAATATAATATAATATAATATAATATAATATAATATAATATAATATAATATAATATAATATAATATAATAT